GGCGATGCCTTCTGCCAGGGGAGCGCACAAGTGACCGGCGTCTCTTCCCATGCCCGTCTCCTGAAGCGACCCCCCCGCCCGGCATGGATGTAGCCAACAATACTACCTCTCCAGAGCGCTCCCCCGAGGGGGCAGGCGGCCCCGGCCTCGCCGAGGTGACCCTGGGCTACCAGCTGCTCACCTCGCTCCTCCTGGGCACACTCATCCTGTGCGCCGTGAGCGGCAACGCCTGCGTGATCACGGCCATCGCCCTGGAGCGCTCCCTGCAAACCGTGGCCAACTATCTCATCGGCTCGCTGGCCGTCACCGACCTCATGGTGTCCGTGCTGGTGCTGCCCATGGCGGCCCTCTACCAGGTGCTGAACAAGTGGACGCTGGGGCAAGTCACCTGCGACATCTTCATCTCGCTGGACGTGCTGTGCTGCACCTCTTCCATCCTGCACCTGTGCGCTATCGCCTTGGACAGGTACTGGGCCATCACGGACCCCATCGACTATGTCAACAAGCGGACTCCCCGGCGGGCCGCCGTACTTATCAGCCTGACCTGGCTCATCGGCTTCTTGATATCCATCCCGCCCATGCTGGGCTGGAGGACGCCCGAGGACCGCTCGGACCCCGACGCCTGCACCATCAGCAAGGACCACGGGTACACCATCTACTCCACCTTCGGCGCCTTTTACATCCCGCTTCTCCTCATGCTGGTGCTCTACGGCCGCATCTTCAAGGCGGCCCGCTTCAGGATCCGCAAGACCGTCAAGAAAGCAGAGAAGAAGAAAATCGCTGACACCTGCCTCACCCTCTCCCCGGCAGCCCTGCAGAAGAAAAGCAACGGAGAGTCCGGGAAGGGCTGGCGGCGGACTGTGGAGCCCAAGCCCGGTGCCTGTGTCAACGGCGCGGTGCGGCAGGGAGAGGACGGGGCGTCCCTGGAGATCATCGAGGTCCAGCGCTGCAACAGCTCCTCCAAGACTCACCTGCCGCTGCCCAGCCCCCCCGCCGCCCCCCTCCTTCGAGAGGCGCAACGAGAAGAACACGGAAGCCAAGCGGAGGATGGCTCTGTCCCGGGAGAGGAAAACTGTCAAGACCCTGGGCATCATTATGGGCACCTTCATCCTCTGCTGGCTGCCGTTCTTCATCGTGGCGCTGGTCCTACCCTTTTGTGACAGTAAGTGCTACATGCCCGAGTGGCTGGGGGCAGTCATCAACTGGCTGGGCTACTCCAACTCCCTCCTCAACCCCATCATCTATGCCTATTTCAACAAAGACTTCCAAAGTGCTTTTAAGAAAATTATCAAGTGCAAATTT